TTGAACCCAACTTAGGAGGCAGTCACCAGCCAGCTCTTGAGTGCACCCAAATAAAAATCAAGCTTGCTTCAAATTTGGCTCAAAACTGTGATAGATAATGGTCTAATTTTCACCTGGTAGGATTAACAGAGCAAATGGGCCTTTCAGGTCAGAGGCATTTTTGTTTTATAGATCTCTTAAGCACAGTAATTAAAACTTAAAACATAACTTTAGTCCTCACAGTACGAGGAAGAATGAGGAGTTAGCAACAGTGTGTGTGTTTGTGTGTGTATGTGTGTGTGTGTGTGTGTGTGTGTGTATGTCTTGTGTAGGAATAGGATAGGGTACCATCGTTTAATATCTCCCTCGAGTTATTTCTGACCCTTTCTCCTCTAATATCCACTCAGTTGCAGCTTATAAGGTGAAAGACAATGATTACAGAATCCAGACAGCCTCATCTCTGCTGCTTTCATTCCATCTTAGGGATTAGGAAAGGGTAACCTGTAGCACGAATCTTAAAAGTTCTTATTAATAAAAACAAAACCAGGTGGCGGCGGCGGCGGCGGCGGCAGCCTTTAATCCCAGCACTCGGGAGGCAGAGCCAGGCATATCTCTGTGAGTTCGAGGCCAGCCTGGGCTACCAAGTGAGTTCCAGGAAAGGCACAAAGCTACACAGAGAAACCCTGTCTTGAAAAAAAAAAGAAAAAAAAAAAAAAAAAAAAACCTGGAGCCAGGTATTAGGGTAAATGCTGGAAGATCTGCAGAACAAGGCACAGCTACCTCACTTTACCAATTCCTCAGCTGATCCTATTTCCTCAGACTGGAAGTCTGAGTCCTTATTCAAATGAATCTCAGCTGAACTGCTTCTGGAAAGCCTGAATGCTTAACCAGCCAAAAGCTTCTAGTTTCTGGTCTTCATGCTTTATATATCTTTCTGCCATCACTCCCTGGGATTAAAGGCATGTTAGTTACCATGCCTAGCTATTTCCAGTGTGGCCTTGAACTCAGAGATCCAGGCGGATCTCTGCCTCTGGAATGCTAGGGTTAAAGGCATGTATACCACCATTTTCTGGCCTCTGTATCTAGTGGCTGTTCTGTTCTCTGACCGCAGATAAGTTTATTAGGTACACAATATTTTGGGGAACACAATACCACCACAGTTACCCTAACCATTCATGGCACTGATCATGTGGTGATATTTTATTTGTGCTGAAATGTGACATTTTATTTGTGCTTTAATAAATAAAGCTTGCCTGGAGATCAGAGGAATAGGAACAGCCATTTTAAGTAAACAAAGAAGTCAGACAATGGTAGCACATGCCTTTAATCCTATCACTTGGCAGGCAGGAATCTGTCTGGATCTCTGTGAGTTCAAGGCCACACTGGAAACAGCCAGGTGTAGTGGCACACGCCTTAAATTCCAACACTAGTTAACCATGGAGATCTGTAGGTCTGTACAGACAGACAGGAAGTGATCGAGCTGGGCAGGAAGAAGAAGTGATGTGGCTGGACAGAGAGAGCAAATCAGATGGCAGAACAGCAAGGCATATAGGCATGAGTAGACAGGAAGTAACTCACATTTGGAAGCTGCTGAGTTGGTGAAGTAAGGTTATCTGTAGCGCTCCCTAATTCCCTGATCTTTCTAAGGCTTTCACCCCTATATCTGGCTCTGTGTTTTTGTTTTTGTTTTTTTAATAAGACCATTTAGAAATTCATCTACATGGTCCAGATGGATAAATAAAGTTGTGGAAAAATCTATCCACATAGCCAAGTCAACTAATAGTTTTGTTTGTCAAAAGCCTGATGAGTGCTCAATTTGGTCAAAACACATAAATAAGTAAACACTTAGAAAACAATTGGCCAGAAGCCATTCTGTAATAAGCACTTATAACACTGCAAATAAGTTCTTCTTGGCTAAATTCAGGGCTCTCAGAGGATAAAGGCTTTTATGGACCAGATGTTGATATCTCCTTCCCCAAATTTGTTTATTGAAATCATAACTCCCAAAGTAATGGCTTTGGAGGGAAGGGGTCTTTGGCAGCATTAGGTCATGAAAGCAGAACACTCATGAATAGGAATAATCCCCTTAAAGGGAGACCCCAGAGAACTCTCTGGCTGTGAAAATACAAAATGATGGTCTACACCCTGAAGATTCTCACAAGAATCAAACCACACTGGCATCCTTCTCTCAGTCTCACAAACTTCAAAGTTGTGAGAAAACAATCTCTGTTCTGTAAAAGTCACCTTGTCTGTTGGCACTTTATTATAAAATCCCAGACCAAGAAGGGACCCAGTGTTTCATTGTCTCTACCGTCTGGGGCTGGTGTATTTTCTCCTCATGAAAGCTTCAGAACTAGCGTGTAAGTAACTGAATAAAAGTTTCCTGGAGGGATTCTACTCAACTCAAATATTGCTTTCTAGGGTCTTTCATTTCTCTGCGCAGATCATACAAACAAAATAACAAGTACACTAGCATAAAATGACTTCTGTCTTGAAAGCCATGCTGTACCCCAGAGTTGACTTTAGAGTTGCTATGCGCATCTCCAGATAGTAATTGCTGATTAACATAGACCAGGTCTGAGACCCCAGGAGCAGGCTATACCGCTTCTAAAGAGTTCATTGAGTAGAGGAGCAGAGCTGGTGATCATCTGTCACTCACTACTGTGTCATGTAACCCATGAATTGGCTACATGCTATAGCTCTGGCCATGTTGTGATGGGAGACAAAATGAATGAGATGGTGACCAGGACATGACCAACATAGGAAATAATAAACTGGTACCCTAATTGTCTCAAGTTGTCCTGGAAACGATTATGAACTACAAATTTCAAAGTTCTCACTTCATTGCAAATACAGTTAGACCAGGGTGTCTCATTCATCCTTGGTCTTCCAGCTCCAGTCCCATGTCCAGACTGAGCAAGTTTTTCAGAACATAGTCACTCTCATAAATACTTGTCAGTTGGCTGACATTTCTTTATAGATAAAAGTGTTGCAGAGGATGAAATAAATATCCCTAGAAATCTTCATACATTTGAAATTTTCAACAGTCCACAAATGAAAATTCATGAGAGACTATGCCAAAAATCTACAGTAAAGACAAACAAGCATCTCGTGACCTACAAATAACTGCTTGAGTCCACTTCAAATATATTTGCATTGTCTTGGGACATTTCCATATAACTTTGTTGTATAATATATTTAAATTGAATGGGAAACTAGTAAAATTACTGAAACTCAACTGCCCACATGTTTAGAAAATACACATATTTAATTTTTTATTTTTTTCCCAATAGGAATAGCTAGCTGCCTGAATCTAGAATCCAATTATTTTGATGGTATTTTAACTGCTATGTATATCTAAAAGGTAGGTTTAATCTGGCATTCCACTGAAGTCTTATTGAAATCTGTGATTCTATCTGGCACATGTGGACACCTGGATTTTCTTGCCGTATCTTAGATAACATTCACTCTATATATCATTCATAGCCAACTCAGATAAGAAACTGGGTCAACCATGGTTCATTTTTTTTTCTTTCAAAAGCAATGTGCTTGAAGTATTGGGACAAGAAATCCATATTTTAGTTTATATTCAGCATAGCTTCTACTTGTTTCAATTATGAATTCTATATTACAAATAAATCAATTCTAATTTTCTCAAAGCCAGAATTACTCAAGAAAAATTTCAGTGATAGCAAACATTGATCCAACATGAAAACTGAAATAATTTGAAATTCATCACTTGACATGCTCCCGGACAGCCACTTGGTGTTAGGAATGAAATAATTCTTCAGAACCCAACCCAAATTCTTCATGAGTACTGCTGCTTCCTCATTCCTCCGTAATGAAGACTGCTTGCTTTAAGCACAGTGAGATGTTTTATGTTGTGTAACTTGCCATGTAGTCCAACTTCACCCAACTGTTCACTAATATTTCTTATTTGATGAGACCCAGTGAATTATTTTATGTTCAATTAAACAGTCTAAGATTTTTCCACATGCTCATGCTTCCTTTATAGATTAAATATATGGTAATCATTGTGTTTGGTTTTCAGTTTCCTTTAAACCCAGTAACTTGCATATATATATATATATGTATATATATATGTATATATATATATATATATATGTGTGTGTGTGTGTGTATGTGTGTGTATGATCTAAATGTGTGCATTTATTGATATATTAAACACTTCTGACATAAGTTGTAACAATTGTTATAACTGTTTCATTAAGACAGGAAAAGACCAATGAGTTGTACAAAATTAAAGAGAAAAAAAAGACACAGCATCTGGATCTCCTAACTGCTAGGCATGAATACCTCTTTTTGTCACTGATGGTTTCAGATTTATACTCTAAAATGAGTTATGTTACCACGTCCTCAAAATCAGACACTATCCCCACTTACAATGATAATAAAGTACACAGATCTTGGCAAACCTCATGTGTTCCCATTGACTGACTTTCTGCAAAGATCAAGTTTAGAGCACTTTGCTTTCAATTCACTCAAGAGCACACACTGATATAGCTAACAAATGCAGAGAGAGGAGAGAATACAGATGTAGTAATGAGTGGAGTACAAAATGTGAAATACTGAGAATGAGTCAGCAGTCAGCTCTGCATAGGGCCTCTTACCTTACATCACTTATTATGTCGTCACCTGAGACCCAAAGACCAAGATCATTAAGAAAGAAGGGAAACAGAGAAGGCCATTGGTGCTAACACCATTCAGGGTCCAATTACTGTATAACAACCACATTCACTTTTGTTAGAGAAAATTTAATGTGGATAATTGTAAACTATATACTTGATAGCTGGAAGGTAGAGAGAGAACCTTAAGGTGTCACATCAATGTTAATTACAGGAAGCTACTTCCTCCCCTAGAGTTAACAAAGCAGAAGAGAAGATTATGGAATTTTAAAGAGCTCAAAGAAAATCTTGTATTTTAGGGCCCAGGCTTTGAAGGGAAGCATGGGAGGCTCACATCTGATGTGACTCTGGAGGAACTGGACAAGCCAACCCTACCTGTATCAGAAACTCAACGTGCTCTCATTGCGTCACTGGATTCAAGTACAACGTGCAGGGTAAAGAGAGGCAATGGGGCTCCTGACAAAATTAAGGCATTTACATGAGCCCAGCAGAAAGAAGCTCACAGCCAGCTGTGTGGTTTCCCTGGTACCACCATTGGCACAGTGTAACTGGGAGACACTAAACAAACAGAAATGTGGTTGCCAAGTCACATCACCACAGAGCAGCTACCAAAATAAGATGGGAAATGGAGACTGACAGTGGCCCACTAACAGACCCATGATGGTTTATTCCCATTGAGGAGGAGGAGATGTTTCTAAAAGTTCGGATATAGTCAAGAACAGAGAGAGAGAACAAGGAATAGGAGACTATGGTAAATGAAGGCCGCGTGAGAAAAGGAAGAAACAAAGTGCTAAAGAGGCCCACAGAAATCCACAAAGATACCCCCACAAAAGACTGCTGGCAATGGTTGAGAGACAGCCCGAACTGACTTACTCTGGTGATGGGATGGCCAAACACCCTAATTGTCGTCCTAGAAACCCCATCCAATGACTGAGGGAACTGGATGCAGAGATCCATGGCTAGGCCCCCGGTGGAGTTCCGGGAGTCCAATTATCGAGAAAGAGGAGGGTTTATATGAGCAAGAATTGTTGAGACCAAGGCTGGATAAAGCACAGGGACAAATAGCCAAACGAATGGAAACACATAAACTATGAACCAATGACTGAGAGGCCCCCATCTGGATCAGGCCCTCTGAATGGGTGAGACAGTCGATTGGCTTGATCTGTTTGGGAGGCATCCAGGCAATGGGACCGGGTCCTGTGCTCATTGCATGAGCTGGCTGTTTGAAACCTGGGGCTTATGCAGGGACGCTTGGCTGGGCCTGGGAGGAGGGGACTGGACCTGCCTGGACTGAGTATACCAGGTTGATCTCAGTCCTTGGGGGAGGCTTTGCCCTTGAGGAGGTGGGAATGGGGGTGGGCTGAGGGGGGCGGGAGGGGGAGAACAAGGGAATCCATGGCTGATATGTAGAACTGAATTGTATTGTAAAATTAAATTAAATTAAATTTAAAAAAAAGTCTGGGTATATTGAATTAAAGTGAGTCAATGACATTAGTATTGATTGTGTCAGTACAGTGTCTTAAGCATGGTGTTGGGCACTTTAAATCCATTAGTTCATTTCATTTCATCCTCACAAATACTATACAAAGTAAATATTATTATTCCCAGTTTATAAAGAAGGAAATTGGGATTCTAGAAAGTTAAATGAATTGGTCAAACTACATACTTAAGTGGGGATCCAGAATTGGACTGCAGGTCCATCTGTCTCTAAAATACAAGTTCTCAAACATTATAATATACACACACTTGGCATATGAAGAGCTAAAAAATAATGGGGGAAAATAACATTCCAGAGAGAGACACAATCAAAGGTGTGCAGGTATGAAATGGTATGACAGGGAGAGGAAGCCATGAGAAACTCTACATAGCTTAAATTGAAGATAATAAGTGTACAGAATGAGCGATTTGGGGGATTAACCGATTAGCCAATCAGAAACCAGGGCGTGGAAGAGTTTGAAGAACAAGTTTCAATGGATCAGCTTTGCAGCATGGGCAATGGTAAGTCATTGAAACTTGAAGCAGCCAGACTATGGTGAATCTTTTATGTGTATATATTAAATTTCATATATATGTATATTAATATGTATTTCTGCAAAGATACAGAAGATGCATTGAACTGAAGTCAATATAGAAGCAAGGAAGCTAACTAATCTTTTTTTTTTTTTTTTTTCAAAAAATCAGGGATTACATGGGAGAGCATGAAAAAAGCAAAAGTAGTGTGGAATGGTAAGAAGGGGATCAGCAGGAGAGGTGCAGAGGATGTGGGACAGACAAACCAATGATGCGTTAGAAGGGCTGTAAGGTGTTCATTTGGGAGAGAAAGCGCAGGGAGACCTGCCCTTCCGACTGGGAGAGTGGTGGATGGAGGGGTGTCATCAAGTCAAGAAAAGATCAGAAACAGCACCTCTGTGGAAAAGGAGAAATGATGTTCTGTTCGGCCCATGTGTTTGAGATTTTACACACACACACACACACACACACACACACACACACACACACACACACAGTGTGCAATCAGCAAGATAGTACAAAACACTGGGGTTTAAAAAGACAAGTGAGCTGGAGATGGAAGTCCTCTTCCATGGAGTGAATAATGTCTTCACTCCCCTTTTCTGGAAAACGCACAGAGCCAAGATGCTAAAGGTTAGAAAAATCTTTTTCTGCTCTGAAAGCAATAAAGCATTGACTTTCAGCAAGCAGAGAACCAAGGAAGATTAGAAGAGAGTGTTCCAAATCTATTTGGTATAATTGATACAAGAATTTCATCTAATTGAGCTTAAAAGTAAAAAGACACAAGCATCAACCAGAAATATAGTATTCTCGGCATGTTCCCTGAATTCCACTTTTAAATAAATCTAAAATGATTTCTTACGCATAAAAATCTCATCTATTATTTTAATAGCTGTTCCAAGCTTACTGCAAATTAATAGATATTTGTATTTTGTGTACATTACAACTTGTTTATATTTGCAGTAAATCAATAAAGTAAACTAATAGAATATTATATGTTTATAATATTTGACTATTGTTTTTAAATGGCTAAATACAAATTATATTTAGTAAGCAAAATAATAACACTATTTTTCAGTTAATAGGTAGCATGACTTTTTGCATATTCAAAAGGAAAATATTGGTTACTGTGCAGTATACAATCTCATTTTTTTCACTCCTGACAGAATCCCTGATTTCTAATCATTGTAGGGAGATTCTTGTTCCACTCTATTTTAGGAATATACAGACTGAGTGATGCTATGATGGTTTAAATGAGAATGGCCCCCATAGGCTCCTATGTTTGAGCCCTTGGTCCCCACTTGTTGGATCTGTTTAGGAAGGATTAGGAGATACAGCTTTGCTGGAGTAGATGTGTCACTAGGGGTGGGCTTTGAGTTTTCAAAATCCCATGCCATTCCCACTGTTTCCTTCTCTCGGCTTCATGCTTTTGGATCAGATGTCAGCTCTTGTTCTAGAACCATGGCTGCCTGTCTGCTGCCACGCTCCCTGACATGGACTCTAACCCTCTGGAGTTCTAAACAAGTCCCCAATAAACTTTTTTTTCACATGCCCTTGGCCATAGTATCTTATCACAGCAGTAGAAAAGTAACTAAAAACAGATGCCTAATCTTAATCCTGATAGTTTAAGCAGGTCAGCAAAAACACAAACTCTGCCATAGTTATCAATGTGGTTATGATCATATGTTCCAGGCCTGAAGAAGTCAGCACAGTCCATAGCAACCTCATGCCATGCTACCCGGCTCTATCCAGGTAGAGTACTGTTCATGACTTTTGTTTGCATCAATACCACAGAGGCAAAATGTAAAGCTGAAATGTGCTCATATACTTGGTGATTTCATTGAACAGCCAAATCAATCCTAGACTAAACCAACCCAGGAAAATAATCTTGAAGTCAGTAAAGGGGTTATTACTGATTTCCTTAAAAATTAAACCCAGAACTACCACCATATTGCAAGGTGGCCCTATATGATGCGAAGTGCTACACGACATGTTTTCCAAAATTTGTATGATTAATACCCAGGCTCCATTTATTCTTATTTTAAAAGGATCACCAGGGTTTCCTTAACTACAAATCATGTTAGCTGAACTTAATTCTATGTTATACCCTAGTCTAATAATCATATATTTTAACATTTGATCTATACTCAAAAATGGACTTTTCATGGTAGAGAAAACTTAAAAGACAAGTTGTCACCAAGATACAGACAGATTTAGCCCTAAGCTAGTGTGACTTTGTCAGTCTAAACATATGTTCCTTTATAACATGAAGTACTGTTTGCAAGCCAGTACCTATGACCATCTCATGCTCAAGAGGCCACCACAGAGATGGCGATAAGACAGGGCTTGTCCCCACTCTCACTCCAAGCTGCAGCCACTCTGCTTTTACTAACTTAGGGGGTAGTGATGGACTGAGTACCCCTGGAAATTTTAATATGAGATAATGAATCTTGTTAATGAAAAAAGATTGAAAACTTCCCCTTTAGAGGAAGATTAATCTTTTTAAACTCCATAGACTTACTCCTGAAGATTTTCTGTCTCCTTTGCCAGCCATCTCTTCTCATCTACTGTAATTTGCCCTTCAGAGTAAAGACAGGAATTGCTTTCTCTTTTTCTTTTTACTTATTCTATGTGTCTTTTACATCACGTATCTTGATCCCGTTCATTCCCCTGTCTCTTTGCATCCACCCTGCACCCTTGCACCACCCCCAAATAAAGCAAAACTTAAGAGGAAAAAAAAGGGGGGATTTAAAAAGGGAAAAAATCAAAAATCTCATCATGGAAGCTGCAGTGTGACACAGTGAGTCACGCCATAAACCCCTTTGCCCATATATTTTTACTTGCAAGAGGTCATTGCAAAGAGTCATTGGTCTGGTTGGAGGTCTCTGGTTTCTACTATGCTATTGATGCTGGGCCCTCACTGGGGCTCTTCCTAGATATCCTGTTGTTGCCCTGTGTTGTGGAAATCCTGCAGCTTTGGGTCTAAGGGTGCTCCAGCAGATCATAGATGGAGTGGATGTTGGGGCCGGCCAAGTCATAACCCTGAATCTGGGCCTGGGCAGCTGTAGGGTTGATCAGCCAGCCCTTTCTCCCCTGACCTCACCACAAGGGTGAGCTCTCCAGCATGGCCCTGGCTAGTTCACCCTTTGCAGCAATGAGCAAGGGGTGGAGTCATTCTCCTGTTTTCAGGCCCCCAGAGTAGGCTTTCCCACATCTATACTGCTAGGTCAGGAATTGGGGCTTTCTTAACAATCTACTGCTATCAACTAATTATCCCTTTTCCTAAACTGCTGGCTCCTCCTAAGGAAAAATGCTTTTAATTCCTTCTAGAGCACAACAGACACAGAGGCACTCTTGTTTCATAATGTTTTTGTTCTTTGAGAATATCATCCCCCTCTAACTCTTCTCATATTATCTATCTCCCTATCCACCCAAGTTCGAGGTTTCTCCT